TAGTTAAAGAACTGTGAAAGGCTTCGATCGGCGGTCACTAACAGTTTATCAATGCTATCGATGTACTCGTACGGAAATACGGCCTTGCGCGTGAGCAACTCGAAATCCTCCGCGACGAGATCGGAAAATTCGAATCGCGAGATCCTCAATTTTTCCCGATCTAGATACGAAGCTACTTTTTCTAAACTAGTATTGAGAAACTTAAACGAATCCACGAAACATAGCTTACACAATTTTTCCATTTTCTGTATGCCGAATCGTTGACGATTTTTGAAAACGCGATGTAATTCTTCTTAGTCAACGGTAACAAATCGACTCTACCCTCGAAAGCGTTCGCTATATCCTTAATAATGAAATGTGCATCGTAACCGGATAGATTGTGAAAAAAAACGGGAATAACGAACGCGTTCTGAATAGTTCAAATTGCAGCTCGCGTGCGCGGGTCCTCTGTACCCGCGTCCGGTAAGATGACAATGATCGCGCACGCGAATATCGTACGACTCAAAGCTCCTTCCGCACACGTGACAATTTGTCGCTTTTTGAAAAGCGCTCCGCTCGTTCGGCGTGAGCTCCGACATCGGTACGCTCGCGCACAGAACCTTCTTCACGCGACACGCGAGAGCGCGCAGCTCCTCGACGAACCACGAGACGCAGTCGTCGCCTCAGCGAGATCTATACGCGGATACGATTCCGTTGTATGTGCTACGCAAATAATATCCCACGCTAAACGCCTTGTGGTGTTAATAGATGAATCTATCGTCGAGATTCCCAGTGAACCCCCTTGATCTCCCTTTTCTAAAACGCACTCCTCTGCATACACGACGAATCGTAGTCTCTCCTTTCTGTCGTGATTGTGAAAAGAGAGCAACTTGTCGTCCTCGCTCGGAAGAATAACGGCGCAGTTCGTTCTTCCGCACTCGACGCTATGCGCGACCAATTTCTCGTTCAAGTAAAAATAATGTAGACATCTGAAAAATATAATTTATAATTAATACAAAATTTATCTCGCGACGAGCATAATCTTTCTTACGCTTATCGATCGCATATGTATTTTTTTTCCTTATGCTTGTTTATTTGCGACGTTAATAATAACGAGAGATTCAATTAACAGTCGAGACAGGTGCTTTATCCATACGAAATGACCGACGTTATCGCCGCGCCGCTCGTTCGACAGATAGAGCAAATTTACATGCGTAGACTTCTTGTTCCCCGTGAGTGACAAAGGAACGATCATGATACCGTTCCTTTCCCTTTTCTCTCGAATGGCAAACATTGATAGACAAATCGTTAAGACGGTCGAATCTAGCGATGTTTCGTTATGTCATAGGAAAGTCGATACCATCGAAATTCAGTTTGATATCAACGAATAGTGAGGATACGACGATGGTCTGTCCGAGTGTAGATCAACGGGATATAGAGCGGCCATCGCCCACGCGAAGCACGCGTTGTCGTTT